AGGGCGGCATTTTATTTTTCATTTTATTGGCAATTAAGTAGATGAGGGAGGTATTTTTTTAAATTTTAATTTCCGAATTTTCTTTAACATTATGATATTTTTTTTAATCACAGATATACTTTCTATTTCTGGTCAAAATTTCTGCTTTATCCATTGATTAACAGCCTGTAAACATCATAGGTAATATCCTTGAATGTATTTTCAAACGAAGAAGCCAAAATCTCATTGTAAATGGCTACCGGAAGTGATATTTGAATACTAAACTATGAAACAAATGAGGTCGGAATTTTTTCCCGGATTGGTCTCCGCAATACCAACTTTTTATTTTATCAAAAATACAAAAAAATCGGCAATGCGGCTACCTCAAAACGGATGCACGCGAGCCTGAGAACCAAGATTTCAGTTTTATATGGCCTAAATATAATCAATAAATTTATTTTTTTCAAAAGTGACTTCACAACAGATTTTAACTTCCCGTCAGGAACTTCTGTTTGTCAATAAGGTTTTTGATCTATGTTTTCCATGTAGGGATTGTTGTAATAAACTATTAAATCAATCTTATTATTTACTTTTATATATTATCTACGTAATGACGTATTTTTATTGTTCAAGATAATATGTGCCTGTTTCAGATTAAGCTGCTTTAATTTCGTGTGTGGTGCTTCTTGCAAAATTACGCGATAATTAATTCCACGTGTATATTTAGGAATCTACAGTATTAATATTATATGATGATTGAATATTCTAGATTGAACATTGTAAGAACAAACTAGAAATATGTCCATAGGACATGAATGCCCCGCCGAGGATATATTAGTAAAGCAACATGAAAATTTGTATGTGTATAAAATTTGATCAGTTTGGTTCAGGTAGGGCTTATAGTTACTTGGGAATGAAAACATAGGTCAGATCCAGCATCCAAAGCAAGTCTGGTAGTGTCCATCCCTAGATGCATCAGGCCTAAAAAAAAAATAAGTTTGTTTCCAGTAACCCGACCGACCCATTCAAATTACCCACCGGTGGATTTTTTTTTCTGACAAATTCCAAAACTTCGTTTGATCAATCAGCTGATTCCATTTATTAAAAAAAGAAAATTAGCTTGTAGCTTAAATTGAGACATAAAATATGTCAACCTAGTTTACATTTACCTTATTTATTAAGAGTAATCATTATTATAACAACTATTTCCCCCTACAACTTGCTGAAGTTCGTTTTCTGCCTCTTGGCAACCATTTTGGATGCCATGTTGGGTGTCCACTGTAAATATGACACCTAGTATATTCAGTCCGGGGATGTTTGACCATTCATAAGCAAAAAAAAAAAAAAAAAAAAAAAAAAAAAAATTCCCGACCTACCGACCCTTAATTTTTTGGGAATGTTACAGGAAACAAACATATCTTTTTTTAAGCCTCATCCATGCAAGTTTGGTTCAGGCAGGGCTTATAGTTACCTGGGAATGAAAATATAGGTCAGATCCAGCATCTGAAGCAAGTTTGGTAGTCTCCATCCCTAGATCCATTATCCATCCAAGTTTGGTTCAAGTAGGGCTTTTAGTTCCTTAGGAATGGACCTGCTCCAAACACTTAAATCTTCTCACTCATCTGGAAAATGTAGGTCAGATCCAGTATCCAAAGCAAGTCTGGTAGTGTCCATCCCTAGATGCATCATCCAGGCAAGTTTGTATTAATAGCCATTCTCTGTAACCACTTAAACTTCGTTGCCACGCATGGTCACCGATTTTGATGAAACTTCACCCATGCTTAGTATTTGACACCAGAAACAAATATCTAACAAAATTTCGTTGCTAAGTGTCTCGGTTGCTATGGCAACAGCCGGAAAAGTTTGAAAAATCGAGAATTTCAGCCACTTTAAATCTGGACTGTGGCTTAATAAAAACTAGAAAAAGCAAACAAACCATTCTCACAAAAACATGACACCTTGATGTCACTTATACTGTAAAGAAACTGTTTAGAATATATCTCTAAATAAGTGGTAACCAAGGGTACATTTGGAATACATTTAAAACGCTGAAATATGCTGGAATACACTCCGTATTCATTAATGGTAGGTGTAACATGCTCAAACTCAATCTACGACTTTAGAAAAACAATGAAAATGTTTCACCTTAAGTATATAAGTATAAGCAATATAATTCTATAAATAACTTTTATGGTTGCCATGGTAACACAGTGTAACCATGCAAAACCAGTAACTAAGATTGGGTTAATGCTACTGTCTTGAGGAAAAACATGAAAATTCAAGACTGGCTAATATGCATCCTTAGGACCCTGCAACATCAAAACCATAAGAAAAATTGGGTATAATTGCTACTTTGCAGTGTTACCATGGAAACAAAGTACCAGTGCTTAAAAGTGAATTATTTTTGGCTGCATTAAGAACTAAATTGCCATATAATCAAGAAAGAAATTAAGGGACTCAGCTTGAATAGTACTTATCTGTTAGAACTGTAGTTAAATATCATATATTGAATAAAATTGAT